AAATGGTGATGAATTGGAAGATACAGCCAGGGTGCTGTTCATGCCTCATCACAGTCTTGGTAATCGGGCCCATGTGGTTGAGGTGCTCGTCACACGCCCCTGTAATGGATTCACTGCGACTGGCTCTCCGGTCACGTTGGCGAGGTGCAGGTATTCATGGTGGGCGTGGGGGCGTGTGTGAAGCGGAGCGAGCGACTTCGGAGGTCAATTCACTCATTCATATCAGCTGGAAGGGAGCCGGAGGACTTTGCGGAATGTTCCGGACGGGGCGTCCGGTGTCTGAGGGGAGCATTGTGAGACTCCTGACAGTTTGACACTGACTTTTCCCTCTTCAGTGGGAGTCTTTGTCCGACACAGCGGGCACACTGTTTGCTCAGTCGACATTTGGGGGGGCGTTAAGTGGCTTCTGCTCCCACATCTGGAACATGTGGTTTGGGTCTTCTCGTCTTACGCAGGGCTCGTATGGATCTTTATTTAAGAGGAGACATCAGATGCTTTCAGGTCTCAGACTTGTTTTTTGCTCAGCCTGGTTCTAACAAACGGGGATCGTTTTCGGTTCTATAACGCTCCTAATTATGACAAAATAAAAGTTCCACATGCCGTTTATCTTCTTTAAACAGCATGTAAACAATACCGAAAGGCAGTTAAATAGTAATTCCAATGTAACTTTGCCAAGAAGGGTCGATTCATTATCTGAAAGGTCTCTTTGTGCTTTCCCCCCCCACTTCATAACTCGGCTACGGTTCCAGGCCGGCGTGGTTTCTTTAGTTAGACTCGATTGCTAATCTGGGATTGTGCAAGCGAAGCGGGTTGCCTGTGCGGTTCACTCCTCCAGGGGAGCCGACGTGCGCATAAAGGGCTGATGCAATGCTGCTGTCGTTATATAACGATCCAAAAACGTTGAAAAAAAGGGCTTGAATTTCTAAGCGTGTATATTTCCTTGTAAATGTTGGCTGCTTTTAAGGTGCCTTTGATCATACGATTGTGTAAATTTTGCGACGTGTGGCGTTGATAACCTTAAAGCACCAGTTTGACACTGTTCCATTTGGGTAATAAGTAATATATTTAATATATATACACAAATGAGTGACAGCTTCAATGACGACATACGCATGTTTTTGCTTCTAAGCATTTTTACTTCCGAAGTAAAATCAATCATTTTAAAGGTGCTGTTTGTGACGGATGATATCTTCGTCCCTTGAACACGAAGTTGAGTGTGACACATGCGACACGTCCGATTCCAGGCCCTTGATTTATTGCGACTGAGCGGTTCCCCAAATCGCCCAGCCAGAGGTTAAAAAAGCCTGAGAACGGACCTTTGGGATTACAGACGGCAACCTTCAGATTCTTCTCCCTCCGTGGAGCTCAGGTCCTCCAGCTTTCCAAGAAATGGCCACGGTCAACGAGTCCCACTGGGGGCCGAATACAGACTGGCTGTGTGTCTTTTGTTCAGACAAGTGGCGCTTTCAACCCCCCAACAACGGACTAATCAGAGAATTCAATTGGAATCACGGCGATGCTTATTTGAAACAAATTAATTAAGACTCGCCTTGTTTATAGATTAACTCGCTTCCCATTTAATTAAAAAAAATCAATCAACGCTGTTCTGATTTATCCAAAGAGAGAAACGATCAAGGGATTCGAGGGATTCTCGAAGGGCGTAGCTGTGTTTATTTTGATTCTCCTCCTCTGCTTTCATTTGAAAGGGGGAAAAAGGATAAAAAAAAGATCAGGACTACATGACGTTGCACCTTCGTCACTGGATGGCCTTTTCCACGGGCCGCCTCGGTGCTTCATGTTGAAAACCCTTCTAAAGCTGCCCGGGCGGCCTGGTGGGATGTCTGTTGTGAAGCCTGTGGGCTTTGATGTTGAGCGTGTGCGACATGTGAATGACAGCCGGCCCATCGGGGAGAAAGCCGTGTGTGAGTTCAGGACAGAATTCCTGTAGAACCACAGATTGGCAGAACCGTCACAGGTGATTATGGGACGCTGTGGCGAGCAGGCAGGGACGAAGATGCAACGAAAGTCACAGTTTGCGATTATTAAAGCATTTGCATTCAAATTTAGAAAAGTGTGTGTTGCTTTCATTTGATGGAATGGTTGAATGCACTTATTGTAAGTCGCTTTGGATAAAAGCGTCAGCTAAATGACATGTAATGTAATGATTGAGGGAATTTAAGGGATTTTTTGGGCTTCAGGCAACAATTACTAACAACAATTCAAGTTGCCCTGACCTGCAGGGCATGTAATCTGTCATCCATCTCCGTGATGGAGACGATTATCCACCAATGGCTTTCCTTTGACGAGACAAAAAATGATATATCGTACCATTTATTATGTGTTCCATTAATATTTCTAATCTTCCAGATTTTTCTGCTGGAATTCTTCAAGCCAACAAATATGTCCATAGAGGAGTCAACTCTGCCGGCCTAATGTGGTCATTATAGATACAGATTTGTAGAATGATTCAGAACATTCTCTAGCACTTGCTTCTCTTATGCAACCCTTGCACCGATAGCAGAGGGAGAGCATGGTCATGCAAAGCAGCGTATCTAGTGACTTCCGGCGACGTTTTTAAGCTACTCTGAAGCTTTTAGTCGTTTTTTTGTTGTTGTTTTTTTAGCAGGAGAGAGAGAAATTGCTCGGAGTGCCTCACTGTGACTCAGCGGCAGCAGTGTGTTTATTACTGTGTTAAAGTCCGGAGGCTGAGTCATCAGGCCGCTGCTCTTCTCTCTTCCCCTCCCTTCGTCAGCGCTGCTGCTGTCGTTTGGAGCGACACAATTCACGTCTTTGTCTAACTTCAACCTTAGTGGGGGAGAATGAGTGCGTGAGGTAAATGATTAAAGAGGATGTGTGTGTGTGTGATGCTTGACTGCTAAGAGATTAGATTTTATTTAATGGTTATTACTAAAGCAGTCCTTTCATCTCCCTTTTCTTAATAAAAAATAACTTGTGCACGGCTTAATGTGTTAGCACTGCTAATTTATAGACCTTGAATCAATGAGCCAACAATTTAAAGAGAGATAAGAGGTCTTTAAAGTGCTCAGTAAGCAATGAAATATTCAAACATTCGTCTGCTGCGATGGAAAGCTCTGATACATCTACTAAATTGACCATGAGATTATTCTGTCAGCTGCTGTTTACAAGAACATAAATATGATCTGAAACTCAGTAGTACTTTCATATTTTTTGCATGTGTGTTAGCGTTTAGTCTTCCATTTATTTTCCCGTGGTTTGTTGTGTTTACATTTTTGCGGCACCTCTCTAAAGTTCCACTTTAGTTGGAAAACTTGCCCAAACCGACTATTCATATTCTTTTCTTGATATATTGTCTTGATATAATTGGGGTCTTAGTAATGAAAATTTGCACAGAAATCCTCCTCGTTACACCATGTTGACATTCAACTATTTATCCACATGATCCCTCACTGGTCGGAAGAAGAACAAATGTCAAACACAATCGGAGATATATGAGCAAAGTGTTGCAACATAAATAGATAATAGTGAGATGCGGCTAACAATTTCTGTTCATGGTGTGCCGCAAAGTAACACTTAGATCTTTCCACAATCTGTTGAGAGAAAAAGCAGGCACACTGTGGTTAACCTGCACATCATCAAGAACTACAAGTGAAGGATCTTGTGTTTCAAACTGTTTGATCCGTTTGGGCCTAAACTGATAAAATCCCTTTTCAAAGGCAGCATCGTGTCTGGGACCTGCAGACTCTCATTATTCCAATCAAACTCATTTATACATTCTGGAAGCAATGTGTGCATATATTCGTTTCATGCATCCAGCCTTTTAAAGATATTTCCAGGCCTAAAGGTTATTTTTTCACCACTGAGCTTCTCTAGGATTGTCGTCTTGAAGATCTCCATTGGTATTCATCAAGGTCACTGTCCTCATCTTCCTTGCAAAAGAAACGTCCCACTTTCCATCCCGCTATTTCCTGAATAATGTCTTACCGAGAGGAGAGAGCTGGATGTGAGCTACTGAGCACCCAGGAAAGAGATAGGAGGAGAAACATTGGCTTACAAGTGTAAGGCAGGGCTAAAGATTCAAATTGACACAGAAGGAAGATGAGAGCATGAAGATTGGGGACGAGGTAACGTGACCTAGCGAGAGAGAAAAAGCAACAGGGATTTTGATTAAAGGGGTGAATGCAGAATGAGAGACGGAAAGCGAGTTAATCGGCTGCAGCATATGACAGAAATTTCACCAGGGCCCCTCCAGGGCAAAGTTTGTGTGGAGCATATGGTGGTATGTAATATTGATGGCACACAAGTGCCCATCCCTCGATGTGGCATAATAGCCTCGCAGTGATTTAAAAAAAAAAAAAGTCATTAAAGATTTAAAGACAAGCATTTGTTGCCCAAAGGAACAGAGAGAAGAGTCAGTAGAGGCGAGAAGGATGTCAATGAAAGACAGATTCTCACGTGCATGTGTGTGTGTGTGTGTGTGTGTGTGTGTGTGTGTGTGTGTGTGTGTGTGTGTGTGTGAAGGAGGGTTGGAGTAAAATGGAACAAAAGGGAAATGGATGAAGAGAAAGATCAAATGATAAACTCAATAAACAATAAATCAAAAGCATGAATTGACAAAGAAAGTGGGTGTTTAGTCAGAACGTTGCTTCAACACACTTCTCACAGGTCAAGGGTCAAGCCCCTATCGTGTCGTATAAGTGCATAGCTGGGTTTGCTCCAACACTTATTGCATGTGAACGGCTCTTTGTTAGACTTGACTCTGTGTAGAAGGTCTCCTTGGTTTCATTTGTATTTTGGCTTTAAACCTACAGCTTTTTAAAAAGCGTCCGTGACAAACTCTGCATCCGGAGCAAAGTGCATCATTGTGCTGCCTGTTTTTCATTCATCGACCCTCTCGGGATTACTGAGCTTTAAGCCGCCTCCTGCGTTCTGCCACACTGATCCGGGATCAGATAACCTCACAAGAATCTTAATCGCAGCAAACCCAGAACGCCAAAGTCCACCGGGTCACCAGAACGTACCTTGCCGTGCGGGCGGCGGCGAGCTGCGGGCTCCCCTCTGTCTCCGTCCCTCCTCCCGGCTCGGCTGTCCTTCTTCAGTGTTCGGACGTAAGAGATTCTCCTCTTGACGCTCCTGTCCCGCTCCTCCGCTTCTAGTTGGGTTCTGCTCGGTTGGCCCCGGTTCTGACCGGACCGGGTGGGACGTCCCGAGGGGCCAGGCGCTCCTCGCCAACCGGTGTCCAGGTACACATGCACGCACACGCACACAGCCGTGAGCAGAACACCCAAACGCAGCAGGAGTCCACGGGTGAGACGCTCTCTGGCCATGTCCGGCCAGATGTTTCGTCCCCTCTCTGTCCCCTCAGTCCATCTCCTCAAAGGGAACTTTTGTTTTTTTACCTCTCTGATGTTTCTATCCCATTCTTCCTCGCCCACTTGTAGAAGGAGTCGTTCTTCTCCACTCTTTGTCTTCTCCTCTCTCCTCGTCCCTCCAGGTCAAAAAGTCCACCTCAGTGAGACCTCAGAGCGGCGGGTCAACGCGAGGGACGCCTCTGCTCATGAGACATTTGCACATGTGTGAGCCGAAGGGAATGAACCTGAACTGCGTCGTGCGTGCCAGCTTATTTTCATGAGGCTGAAGGGATTCCAAAGCACCATGTGTGCCGCCCTCCTGAAAACTTTGGGAACTCCCTCCTCACGCTTTCAAGTCCTCCCCCCCCAACACACACCCCTTTTAAGTGCCTTGTTTTTTTCTCTGTCAGGCTCACATCACACACACACACACACACACACACACACACACACACATCGCTCTGCTCCCTCCCTCGGGTTGCGTCTCCCGCCTGACACGCTCTCGGGTTACTGGGACTCTAGATTTGGGCCCATGTAGCCCCCCCCACCTGCAAACACTTTGCACCAATCACCACACTGCAGCCTCGATTTGCATACTTCATTTTTTATTTTTGGGCTTCAAGACGTAAAAAAATGGGACGTGAAAAATGATGTTTGACGTCCTATTCTGCTGCATGACTTTTTTATCACCTCATAACATTTTATTTGCTTTAAATTCTTGCTGGTAGCAGTTTACCATAATAAAAAATCACAACATCTAATTACCTCTATAGTTTAAACGTGTTATGTTCCTGTATTCGTTCTCCTGTTACCACATCCGTTTTATAATGTCTCGCGACTTAATGAAACTAACTTCTGTGTTTTATTTTCTGTGGCAATAATTCTGTACTTTGGTTTCATTCTCCTCCAAAGATTACAGCATCTGCCATTGTTTGTTAACAATTTTCAGCGCTCCTTTTTCTGCATTTAATTATAATTTGTGCTGTGCTGCCCTCCCCGAACACGAAATAATACGTCCCCGTCACTCTCTAATAACGCAGTCAATCAATAAGATTATTAGTCACAGTTTGTCTGAAACGTTGACTTTCTATCACTGGTAAGTCTGTATATCTGTATGGGAACAATAAACCAGGGCAATTAGTCAACCGTTTTTTGCTTTTATTATTCATTGTAAATAAAATAATCATGCCTAGTATAAAAAGTCAAGACTATTACAAGGAATCAAGTCAAATTTCAAGTCAGTTCTAAAACCTCAAAACGGGATTATAGCAGGAAAACCTCTGCTGCCACATAGTGGTTAGTTATCTATTCTCATCACCTTCATACGGGACCAATTACAACACAATGAGAGTCTGTGAATGCCTGAAATGATGTAGGTCAAATGGTAATTGAGCTGCTCGGCACTGGAAGCTATGACAGCATTTAGAAAGTATGCAGCAGGTTAAACTAGATGAAGATTTGCACCCAAATGATTTTTTTCCATAGTAAGATTCAGGTTCATGTTTCCACATACTACGTTTGTGTTTGTGCATGAAGCGAGCTTTTTCAGCTTGAACAAAGGATATTTTTTTTTTCTCCCCCCTCTCTGCGTTGCACACATTGCAGTGATTTAACTGCATCGACCGAAATCCGCTGCCACATGGAACGCATTCAGGGCGAGAAGCTGTTTCCTCTTCTCCTCCACCAAAATATCAAACTGAGTTCAGGGAGAGTTTCAGCGTTAAAACAACACATAGAACAAAGGACCTCGAGGTCTTGCTGTGTCAAACCATAATGAGCTAATGTCTGTGTGTGTGTGTGTGTGTGTGTGTGTGTGTGTGTGTGTGTGTGTGATTAGAAGCTATGTAGAGATGCAGGCGCAAGTTTCACAACAAAAAGGTTTTCAGTGCAACAGGAGCAAATTAACATTAACTGCCTGGTGTTCAAAATACCACAGACACACACACACAGTTGCCATGTAAATTGTATTATAACACATTACAATATAGTCTCACTTTTTTTAAGCATTGAGAGACCGGTTGACAGATGATGTCAGCAACATGAAGCTTTGGTTATCACGCTATTCTCTGCTGCTTTGCTGGCATCATAATATCTGAAGCACATTTGAAGTAAATGCAAATAATAGATCAAATCAAAAGGGATCTGTAAAATTATCATAATTCATTACCGTTTTAAAGATACAATCAATATGTTATTTTCAAAGCCACAGGACTTTACCTCTCTGATTCTCACAGAAGCAAAACTCATCAAAACCGTCGAGATTGGTCTTTGGTATAATTTTACAGTTTCTAACACCAAAGAGACTTAAATTGTCTCACTCATGGAAACATCTGTTTGGGCCATAAAAAAAAAAAAAAAAAAAAAATATATATATATATATATATATATACATATATATATATATATATATATATATATGTGCGATTTTTTTTGTATCTCTCTTTTACATTGCTCATTTTAAACTGGAACAATTGTTAGCCTTCATCAAACACCCATTTCAATTACACCTTCACTGTTTGACTCTTCCCCATTGGACAAAGTGGAGATGTGCGATATCTAAAGCAAACACTACAGTCCTGCTGAATCCAGCCGAGGCAAAGCACATTCAGTCAACAACTCCCGCACGCATCAATCATTAATCAAGGCCTTCAAAGGGAACACTTACAACGGCAGGTTGGCCTGGAGTTCACAAGGGATGTTTTGTCATTTTTATTTGCCTAATATCTGGTGCATGGATGAGCGAGTGCAGGCCGGGATTTATGGGGCAAACTTAGCATTTTGCACACGGGGGCGAAGCTTGTGCTGCTCATTCAGGCTGAAGTTAAAAGGTCAGAAATGGTCCCATTTACCCTTGAAGGCTGACGGCTAACTGCTAAGTTTGAGTTTGAGTGAAGGCGACGGGGTTGATTCATATTTTAACAGTGATGACTGCCAATGTTATAGGATCCTATCTTCTCAGATTTGGGAAATCACTGCTTTTACTTAATGGTGAGCAGACTGAATGTGTTTAGGTTTTAATTGGACGAGAGAATACAACTGTAGGTGATCAGGGAATCTAAATGGGCATCTGATGACGTTTCACAGACAATAATAAAAAAAGTGAATAATGTGCAGAAACAGATGGAGACACATTTAGTTGGATGTACGGTAAACTTAATAAAATATTAGAATTCTTAATAAAAAAAACAATGAAATTAAAACCGAGCGTGTGATTTATTTTAGTGTTGTTTCAGAGAACTGACCCCTGTACTTCTGTACTCAGCGGCTCATTACAACTGCATTCAAGCTGTACAAGTTGTCTCCTCAGAAGAAGGAACGTGTCCATGTGTCCCACGTGTCCCACGTGTCCCAGCGTCGCCCTCCATCAGTCTAATCCAAAGACAATAAACACCAGTGTGTCTAAATCACTGACGTATTAGAGCTCACCGGTCCGTAATTAACTGACCGTGAGGTTGTGTTTTTTTTTTGTGGGAGATGTGTGCGCGCGTGTGGTGGTGCGCGCGTGTGGCCGCGCGCCCCCGCTGCCCTCCGTGCGCCCGGTCAGACGCGGCTCGCGCACCGGCACCGGAGGCTCCACACACCGTTAGGGAAAATGAGCGTAGAGAGAATATTCGACCACCTCGGACATTTCAAAAGGTAATATTGCGTTTGTTTTTTTCTGAATCGATTCTTATTTTCCTTCCACCGACAGCCAGTTGGTAAGTTTTGTGGACAGTGACTTCTAGACGTGTGGGGTTATTTTTGTGCCATGATACAAACGCAGATACCATTCACCTTCCCTCACGTGAGCAGAATGCTTTGGGATTATTTACAAAAAGAAAATCAAAAAACAGATGTGTGTCCAATAATATAATATTTTTGTAAAATAACTTGTAGTAAAACTGTTAGTAAAATTACACAATTAAGTAGGAAAATACACGTTAATATTAACTATCTTTTACAGTATCTCCCTTCAAGTAGAAATATACTTCTTCACTAAATATATTTGCTCACAGAGCACTGGTCATGTACATTTTTACCCTTTTTTGTGCATTATTTATGACTCGGTCATAAATTGCTCTCTGATTGCTCTCCTCAGCTCTGGTTTGAGCCCATTTCTAAAGCGTTTTTCTTCCTTCTTAGATTCCAGGCATGCCTGTACTTTGCCGCTGTCTTCCAGGCCATAGCCTGTGGGATCCACTACCTGGCCTCTGTCTTCCTGGTGCAGACGCCAAACTTTGTGTGCGGCGTGCCCGGCAACATCACCGACGTCCTGTACGGCAACCAGACCGCATCCAGCCTTGAAGACATCTTGCCGGTCTTCAAGCCGGGAACCGGGCCCTTGGTGGCGAGGACGGCTGGAGGCCAACAGTGGGAGCTCGGCCGGTGCCGCCGCGCCCTGCGCATCGACCCAGGGGGCTTCGCGTACAACTTTGGTGGCAACGCAACGGCGGAGGCCTGCGACGGGAACTTTGTTTACGACCACACGGAGGTTCTCCAAAGCATCGTGACCCAATGGGACTTGGTGTGTGAGAAAGAGTGGCTGGCCAAGCTGTGCCAGCCCACCTTCATGCTCGGGGTGCTCATCGGAGCGCTGGTGTTTGGGGACGTTGCTGACAGGTGAGCGAGGCTGCAGGACGATGGCGCCTTTTTGCCAAACTGGGGAATTGACACTGGGGAGGTAATGGGTGTGGTACTAAGCGTTTGGGCCGTGAAGCATTATGAGAGAGAGGATCGGAGTGACCGTCAGGCAGGAAAAACGATTTTGACGGATCACGTTACACAGCCAAAAGGTTGTGCCTACTACTGAGGAAAACCCACATTTAAGAGAAGAACCTCTGTTTTTTATTATACAATGTTTGTATTCTTATATGTAATAAATCATATGCCATAAATGCTTACGTAATGCTGCTCTAAAGATGAAATCATTCCCTTTATCTCTTCCACCTGCTTTGGGTTTGTCTGTCTTTTCTCCAGAGTTGGTCGCGTGAAGATCCTGATGCTCACCAGCGTCTGTCAGTTTGGCTTCGGGGTCTCCGTAGCGTTCGCTGGGAACTACTATTACTTCGTGGTGCTCCGCTTCCTGCTTGCCATGGTGGGTACAGTGTGTGTGTGTGTGCACTATTGTGTGTGGTTGTGTGTTCGTGCAGGTTTTAAAACTACTGGCTCCATAAATAATCCTGGTTGGTGGAATGCACATATCAATTTATGTGGAATAAAAACACGCATCCCAAAAGAAAGGAGTGAGGCAAGCAACTGTGGTATAAATGTTTAGTACATTCCCACAATTTTGCAAAACAAATGGTTTGTTTTTTTGTAAAATAAAAACCTAAGCAAGAGGTTAGTTGCTAGCTGTACGGCAAAAACATCCTGACCATGAAATACTGTATTGAGATATTACCAGCAGGTCTCCATCTAAATGAGCACAGGTGTTATTTAATACACGAATAACTTATGTTATGTTATATGTGCGTAAAACAGCATCTTTAGTTTGGAGTCCACACGGAAGCGAGTTAAGCTGAAAGTTTGTCTCACAGTTCGTCCACTGTGCCCAACCCCCTCAGCCACAGCTGCTGTTGTTCACATAGACTCAGATAGCGAAGGCTCATTCTACAGGAACTTAAGATCCAACAAAGAAAACAACCTTCAACATGTTAACTCGTTGCTGATATTTGTGTATATACATGTGGTAAAGAGTGAACAGCATGAACATTTGCAGCAAGCAACAATGTCCATTTGAACTTGAATGTTAGTCTGGATCAGACTGTGACAAAACTTCCCTCACAACCTTTTCCTTTCCCAGTATGTTTCCCACGAGTGGCACATTTAAAATGAAGTATTTAAACAATGTTGTATTTTGTGGTAAAACTACTGACAAATAAAACCTGGCTTCTCCTTCCCGTCCCCCTTCCCATCTCTGCTCCTGCCAGGTGTCAAGCGGCTACCTGGTGGTGGTGTTTGTCTACGTGACCGAGTTCACTGGCATCAAAGTACGCACGTGGACCTCCATGCACGTGCATGCGGCCTTTGCCGTCGGGGTCATGGTGGTGGCTCTCACCGGTTACCTGGTGCGGGTTTGGTGGATCTACCAGCTCGTCCTCTCCACGTGCACGTCGCCCTTCCTGCTCCTCTGCTGGAAGTTCCCAGAGACGCCTTTTTACTTGATGGCCAAGGGCCGCCACGAAGACGCTCAGACCCTGCTGGACTCGATAGCCCGCTTCAACGGCCTGGAGTGCACGCTGACGGTGCAGGAGCTCCTGGAGCCGGAGGAAAGGGAGAACGGCCGAGCTCTGCTGCGCGAGGCGGAGGAGCGGCCGCCGCAGCCCGAAAAGAAGCTCTCCATTCTGGATCTCTTCAGCACCTGGAGGATGGCTGGCCGTACGTGCACGGTGTGGGCCATCTGGTTCATCGGCAGTCTGGGCTACTACGTCTTCTCTCTGGGCTCCGTCAACCTGGGAGGAAACCAGTACATGAATCTCTTCCTGGCCGGTCAGTGATTTTTCCCGATTAGTGTGAATGTGCATTGAAAAAATGAGAAATACAGTGCTTTAATGTTCATCATTCTATGGTTGTAATAGTTAAGACAACGTAGGTGTTTTTCGGAGTGGCCAGTGAGATCATTTCGATTCACAAGTTTGGCTTTGTTTTTACTTCTAAATAGCAACTCCTCATCTGCTGTTTTTACTGATAATAAGTTTTGTTATTTGTTATTTTCTTATTTTTTTCTTAAATACATTTAGTACCAGTTATGTCTTTGATTTGATCAATTCGGCGGTTTATATGATATGCAGGGTTCACATAAATACCTTTATATTAAACAGACACCACTGATTTAAGTGCTTTTTTTTAAAAGGCCATTTGGAATACTTATTATTATCCTTTTATTTATTTCACTTGGGGGCGTACAGTGAAGCACGTGGTAGGCAGAGCGCCACCAACATTGTAGGTCCATGTTATTTTAGGTCTCCTGGATAGATGTCTCGGTGTCAGCGTATCGGTGCCACGATAACCTCTGACCCACAGCTGCTGCCATTGGCTGTTTCCAGGTGCAGTGGAGCTTCCTTCTTATCTGGTTGGCTGTTTTGCAATGGACCGGATTGGCAGGAAGAAGACCTGTGCCCCAGCTCTGCTCCTGGCCGGGGTTGCTTGTATGCTCATCATTGTGGTCCCTGATGTACGTACTGAGAGTCAATGTGTGTGTGTGTGTGTGTGTGTAAGACATTTCATTTTTAGGTGCATCATCAGTGCTATATTCAGGTTTTAGTGACAATATGATTAATGAAGTAATTCATATGATATGTGACACACGCATTTTCCTGTATGTGTGTTCTGAGCTCTGACCCAAATTAGTACTGCTAATGGATGGGTTGACAAACAGCTGCTGTGTCTGCTCAAGCAAATATGACCTTTGACATTGACTGCCATTCTGCACAGAGCGGTCAACAAGTGTGAGCTAAGAAATAGCAGCATGGAGACAGAGGACAGACTTTCACTTGCCCTTATATTTTGTCTTTAGCATTTTACTTTGCTCTGCATATTATCAACACAACATTTTTGGGAAATTTCTGGCATCACAAAGTGATCACAAACTCGACTTAAAAGTGTCCGACGCGGCTATTCTCCCTTTTTTCTCCTTTAGGAAATCTAAGGCATAGATACGATTCTAAATGCATATCAGAATCCATCCTATTAGAAATAAGATGGCCAGCGTTCATGCCCATAGAGGAGGCTGAGTCCATTCACGCAGCCCACATGTTGCCACATGCTGCCTTAAATACTACAAACATGCCGACACACCAATAGCTTAGCTTCTGGTGTGTATAATAATAGCTTAGCTTTTTTTTTTTGTTCCCAACAATGACACAAATTAAAAGTGAGCGAAGCAGCAACACCTTCTCAGGAATGTTTAAGGTTAAAAGTGTCTTACCAGAAAAACAAATTACGAAAGAATATAGTGATGTTACACACCAAATTAAATGAGTTAATTCACTTGTTAAAACGTGATGAAGTAGAACCAAGGCAGTGCTGACTTACGTTCAGAGTGCAGTGAGAGTCCGTGCTCTTGGTCTAAGTCAGTGGTCAAATGAATGGACAGATCAAAGGTCAAAGCTCAAGTGTTTTATTTCTGTGCGTGATGAAATCTGCAATGATATTATTTACAGGTTCCTACAGTAAATGTTTCCCCTTGGGAACACGAGGTGCCCGAGAGCAAGACAAAGTTTCTGATTACTTCACTATGACGCGTGGGACAAACACGGGACTTTATTGCTTCACTGTCCAACGGATTTCTCTCCCCAGGACATTGATGCGCTGGCCATTGCCCTCGCTATGACAGGGAAGTTTGCCATCGCCATTGCCTTTGGGCTCATCTACCTGTACACCTGCGAGCTCTACCCAACCATCATCAGGTCAGAGCAAACGGAAACCAAAAAAAAACACACAGCACCAGGAAACACAGGACATCTGGCCTACATTCGGCTTTTCAGAGATCTCTTTGCATAGAAATGCTTCTTCAATTTAACAGGGAGGCCTAATCGTTTACAAATTTCAAGGAATGACCATTACTGAAAGAAGGAAGAGTCATGTTTGTCTTCAGCATTGTATGTTAGTGCATATTTAAAAGCCTCGTTTGAATTATACAGTTGTATTACAGCGCCGTGTGCAGCTGGATATGTGCTACTCTTTACCAGTAATGAGTGATCTCCCTCCAGGTCGCTGGCGGTGGGTAGTGGAAGTATGATGTGCCGCGTTGGCAGTGTGGTGGCGCCCTTCTGCGTGTACCTGGCCGATGTCTGGATCTACCTGCCACAGGTACACACTGACTGGTTTGCTTGAATACAAGGTTGAAGTCGTCGTTTGTTCCTTCTGCCGTAGTTTTCCACAATAATATATTTGCTGGAAACAACAAATTCTACAATTTGATTTGATTTACTCATCACAACCCCCGTGTAGCTCATTGTTGGGATCCTGGCATTCGTCATCGGAGTGCTGACCTTGTTGTTGCCTGAGACTCTGGGCAAACCTCTAACAACTACTCTGCAAGAGGCCGAAGCTCTGGGGAACCAGCCCAGCAAGAAGGACTCAGCCGTGGGGTACAAAAACGCAGAGGTCGGCTTGGAGATGAACCACCGGGAAGCCAAGGCCTGAACGTCCGTAGGGAATGACGCACAAAAGGCTGAAGTATCATCGGCGTCCTGTTTTTGTGGATTGTAAAAGAATAACTTAATTGTTTACATTTATTTCTGCAGAGACCAACATGGGAGCTTTTTAGGGTCCTGACACATTACACACAGAAACTTAAATGTCTTAAATGTGTTGTTTGTGTGTGAGTGTGTATGTGTCCAAGACCAAGGAAATATGAACTGTGTACTGTGACAAGAAACACCAGCAGGCAATAACACAAAGCCTGAACTTTGTTAGGGAATATGAGTGTGTGTGTTTGTAGACTAGTTAGCGTTCTGGTTTTCTACATGCTTATTCTATGTATGCACTCTAGGTATTACAGAATGTTGGAGATCCAAGACCAGGAGATTGATCCTAATATTTGGACCAAAGACAGAAACCACAACAATATGGACACGTAATCATGTCTTTTGCAATATGGTAGCATTGCCTAATATAAAACTTGTATGGTGCTTGTATCCAAAGGAAAACCATTAAAATCATTGGATATCCTGACGCAATGAAAGCGTTCATGTTCAGTATCGAATTCTGAACAGCCTTTATTTTGTGTGAATATTTCCCTTTTATTTCATTATGGATAAAATAACACTTTTCTTCACCACACAACCCTTTTGCAGTCTGTCTGGTTTCTATGCATCTGTTGTAACAACTGTGGATTTACAGTGATACTTCTTCTTCTTCTTCTTCTTCTTCTTCTCTCTCTGTCTCTCAGGCGTTTGTTCAACCTGACGCTGGAAAACTAGGATATCTATTTTTGTCTCACCAGGAACACAGAGCCGGCCTGTTTACAGCCCACCGACACTAACATCCCCCTGTTTGAGGGGGAGGTCCACACTGCCCCCCCACCTCTGCTCCACCCAGCACACGAACAAGCTCCCCGTGTCCAACCTTTGAGTAGAAATTCTGCGGGTGCACAACCAGTAAACACTGTGTGTGTGTACAGAAAAACTTCACTTCACTTCACTTGAACCTTGACTGCCAGGCAGTGAGTTCCAAAATGAAGCTTTAGACTCAGTCGGGACCTCTGGGATTCAGGAAGGACGTAAACCGCAACAGTGCTTCTGCTGTAACGCAAACACAGGTTGGCACAGGGGCTGTAAACCAAACACAGTAAATCACGCACTATCACGTAGCGCAGGGCGGATGCTGGAATAATGAAGTTAAAGGGAACTTCAGGTCCTAGTGGGGTTGTTAAAAAAAGTTGACCGCTTGTCAATAAAGAAAAAAAATGTCAGGCAATAGTCTGTGGCATGTGAGGTCAAAAAAGGTCATAGTATATCATGTCAGAAATAGTGACAGAAAGAAAAGTGTCATGGTGTAGTTTACCAAAGCCATAAAAAATAGCAAAAAAGTTAGAGACTGGAAAGGTTTATAAAAAGACCTGTCAAAAGAAGTCATAAAATGTCATAATACTTAATGTTAATTAGATAGCATGTCAGAAAAAGGTGAGGTTATTGTAAAGCAGGTAGTAAAAAGTGATTAAAACAGTATGACCCAAAAAGGCATAGTATAGCATGTCCAGAAAGTCAGAAACAAATGATAGAATACTTATACTAATAATAAAAGAATAGTGAGTAATAAATCTTTTGGCTTGCGAGACAGAAAAAGCCATAAAATATCATAGCAGAGCATATCAAAAAATGTTATTGAATTAGTTTGTTGTAAAAAGTAAAGCATGTCAAAAAAATCTTAGAATGTTATCGATTGGTATTCAGTAAAAGGTTCTAGTTTAGTTTATAGAAAAACAGTCACAGTATCGTAGGTCTAAAGAAGTGATGATTCTTGTGTTGAAAATGATGAAAAAGGTCATAGTGTTGCAAGCTGAAAATTGTCGTTAAAAACAGTATATAGTATTAAAAAACGATATTCATAAAAGAATACAAGTAAAACAGAGACAATAGCTGCAATGATAAGAGGACATTTATTCTGAAGACTTTAAAATGATGAACTGCTTTAGTTTCAGCTGTTGAACCTTAAAATACCAAGAATAGTTCAGAAACCAAAACACAAATAATAAAGTTATTAAACATATTTTTTCCTTCCTGAGTATCTTATCTGGAATGCAAACGAATACAAAATAATAAATTAAACGGGCAAAAAAGAACCACTGAAGACAAACCAGGACAGTGAAAAGGTACAAACAATGGAGATTAGGATGGTAGATTGCACCACATAGGTCACATATTAGCTTATGGTTAATACTCTTTGATGATGTTTACATGAATGAAAACATATACTGTGCATAGCTGCGGGGTAGTTGGAAGGTTCAGCTGGATAATAGTAACACTTCGCACGCTTTCATGATAATATTTTGAATGGAAAACATTCCCTTAAACAGCAACGTAATCATGTTTGAAATGAAAATTACCGTCCAGTTTTCTGACCAAAATCCCTTAATTTACTCTGTTATTTCATGAAAAGTCACCTCAGAAAAATGCATTATATAGTCTTGGAATGTATTGCAGTAGAAACACTAATATTTGGCAAGCTCAATCTTTTAGACTTTGGATAAAACAAACTACGCTCCATAAATTAATTTAACGTTTAAAAAAAAAAAAATGACCCGCCTCAAAACATGAAGCGATGCTAAAATACACTACTGGTTTGGTCAAACTCAATCATTCATGCACACAGACGGAATTCTTTGAATTCATAATTGAGTGCTTATTGTTCAACCCTCATTTATACCTAATAATATCTTACAAAAATGTCTTAAACCAACTCTGCTGACTTGCTTTTTGCCACAACTCCTCCAGCTGTGCGCCGAGGTTCATTCTCAGTTACTCAAACTGTTAGTGGGACGGTTAATATACAAAAATGGGTTTTTGGTACCTTTTATTTGCGGATGCCTTTTCTCATTCCAGCTTTTACGACATCCTCCCTTTCATCAAGAATGAACCTCTTTCTTGGGCTTAATCCTCTCCTACAGTAAAAGCCCCAGTGATCAATATTTAGAATATTTCCCCACACGTAGAACGATCCTCATCTTGTGCTGATCTCTCCTGGAGATTACAACAATGATTTTTAAAACAAGCTCAAATTAAAACAAAACTTGAGTCATGCAAATTGAGCAAAACAGTATTTCCCACTATCCTGGTTCACGTTTTTAAATAAAGCATTTTGTCGTTCCAATTACCCAACTCTGTAGTCCTCAGTGCCGAGCCTGTAGGAGTCTATTAAAGATAAAAGAGCCCGAGAAAACACGAGCTTCCGGATCCACAAACCCTCACTTTTCTCAGGAACGCTGACAGTTGGGGGGGGGACTCTCCCATTTCGCCGTCAGGCTTCCTCCAGCCACCTCCAGCCAATTCGAGCCCGTCAGCTTTTTAAAATGATTTTGGCTACATCCACTGTTCACCCCAACAAGCCCTCAGGGATGGACCAGCCAGCTGTTAGCGTCCTCCAGGTCTGCCTCCAGCTCCTCGTCTTCATCCAGAGGCTCTGCGGTTCGGAGGGCCAGCTCTCGAAGGAAAGCCAGCGAGTGGGCGGGGGGTCGCGAGACGGACCTCAGCCCAATTTTTTTCTTCATGAGGTGGAACTGGTCTCGGATGAAGTTGTAGAAGTCGTACTCGTAGCGCATGCGCTGGTACAGCACCTGCAGGGCCTCCAGAGTGGGGGTGTGTTTACGCACGGTGCCGGTCATATTCCCCATCTTCTTATAGTCTTCAGAAAGTGGAAAAACAAAAGAAAGACCAGAACTCAGGTAATCAATGATCTATTTACCTAATTATCAATTACACACAAATGTGCTGTGAACCTACCGGGGCTCTTGTAGATGTTGAGTACTCCGGTAAAGTAATGAGGTAAGAGCCTCTCCAACAGAAGCAGAACGTCCTCCAGCTCCTCCAGGACACCCACGAGGAGGTAGTTCTCCTGCACGTTCTGCTTGGCCCTCTCCAGAGCCCATACTCCAGGCTCCCTGGTGGAGAAAGAAGGAATACCAGAAGACCCAGAGAAGGTACACATCAGACGTCGAATAAGGTCCAAAACACTAACATGCTTTGTCGGGAACCTCGAAAGGTTTGTAGATACCTGCACTGGGGATGTTGTCCACAGAAGTACGGGATAATGTAGAAAACTCTGGGGTTGGAGCACTCTGGGTAATTTTCTAGAATGCACACGTTGATATCCTGAAAGGAGACGAGCACGTAACCATCCTATTCATCACTCATTCCTTTACAGTCAGTATGCAGTAGATGGAGCTCAACCAGAACCGTAATGACTTGTTGTCGCCCTTAGAGGGCGCCATTCACTGCCCCTTCACTTCCCCTCGGCCGAGGCATCAAATATAAGAAGACTATAGGCGTGCATGCATCTATGTGTCCCTCTTTACCACCAAGCAAACGGTGGCTTGTCGCAACGCAGCGATTAAGCTCGGGTTTCATGAGAAAAAAACAGTGATGGGATTAAAGCCGTGAACTTTACGACTTTCTCCTCGAAATGTGGGAGTGATTAAGCAAAGAGGGGCCAAGAACAACTGGACAGATTAGAAATGCACATGTAGGAACTGCCAGTCAAATTCGTGTCAGGTGACGTGAGCAGCGGAACACTCCACGTAGCGTGACTGGCGCTCACGCGCGCGCAGGTTTGCTCAGAACCACGTGTACGGCAGCACCAGGGACGAAGCGCGTCGACGGGCCTGTTATTTGAAAAGCCGGCGGGCTCTAAAGCAAAAAAAACCCCACGAAAGCTGCGACGATTCACGTCAAAAAAAAGGCCCGCCTTTGAGATTCACACTGTGATAAGTCGACGTTTGTCAAAGCAGCACTGGGCGTGATCGATCACTGAGATTAAGTCGGGTCGGGGGCGGGACCGTGGGGCCCGGACGCTTGCCGGAGGACGCAGGCTGTTATTTAGGATGAGATACGAGCGGCCTGCGGATCAACACTGGGAACCAGGTGACTGAGCTGTTAAAAAAAAGAGACACAACATCACTCACAGGGGTGTAAACATGGATTCAGGGCAGGACACCATGTGTGTGTGTGTGTGTGTGTGTGTGTAGCCCGGCTTTATTTTGGCTTTTTATTTCTTTGCCCCATTCAGCTGAATTCTGTGGCGCGATTGTATATGATTCACCAAACGGCTGCAGGCTTTCTATGGAATTTATGACTGAGCTGCACTGTGAGCCGGGAACAGAACTTACTGGTGACCAGTGAAGCAAAGAAACCACAGCAAAAAAAACCCAGAGGAACCTTTGGAAAACCGATAAGCGTCACACCGTTGTGTTAAATGCAGGTCGTGTCCGAACTCGTGATGAGAACGCCCTGCTTTTGTTCGATTCAGAACTTTAGGAACAATTTGTTTTTAATATTCAAAGAATATCAGGGTGAGAAGATCCAGTGTTTTTTCTGTATTTCATAATTCATAATTAATTCCTATTAGCATTTTGAAGAGAGACGTTCTTTCGCTGAAAGAAATGAGTGAATCAAATGAGGATTCACTGATGATGCAAAACTTTCCCAAGACAGTTTGCACACTGGGGTCAAATCCCAGTTTGAAAACCTGCACATTTTTTATTTTTTTAATTCTCAACCTAAATGGCAATTTATAGAAAATACTAAGTTGCCGTGTTTTTGTTTTAAATTCACACGCTTGTGTAGACACCACCCTGTTGTTTTTAAATGTCAAGGCTTGCTGCGGCACGACTGCCGCCAGTAAAGCCTTTCTCTCATTTTTATGGGAGTATTCATGTGTCATTGTGAATGTCGGGTCACCTGACAACGGTTCACTCATTGGGAAATTATCGGCTCCGTGGGAAACCCACAGGGTCAGACCGGTATTTTTGAGCCGTGAGAACTCACCTGAAGTGTTTGTCTGTATTAATGTGTAGGAACACTGACAAACACTCACACATACACACGCACACACACGCACACACACACACACACACACACACACACACACACACACACACACACACGTTGTAGGTTGTTTGCAAAACCTACGTCATTCCAGTCTCTGTTTATCTGTGACAAGATAGGTTTATTCCAAAGATTTTACAGCATGCAGCAACTGTAGAAAAACAGCATGATACTGTACGGATGCGTGTGTGGCACATTACTCGCAGTCACTGTTAAAATAGATGGCAGTAAAGTAAAACAGTAAAAACAAAAAGCTTAGAGACACTTTAGTGTTTGGTGTGCAGAAAAATATCAGGTCTATTGCCAGAGAATGGCCGAAGTTCACCACAAACGTGAGCACAAGACTTACAGTAAAACATCACATACTATATTACTATATTACAGACCAAGGAAGTGAGCACCAACAATCACTTTGGAAAAAATGAGTCACAAATTGATTCTTGTAATATAGGAGTCTAAATACACAAACGTGCACACACACGCACGCAGACACACAGGTGAGCCGGTTAACAGCACCCCAGCTACCCCCTTCTACTGTAGCGAGGGGCCCCTGTGGTCTGCATTCTTTAATAACTCAACTCACATGCTCCAAAAACTCGGCGGGAAGCGATGCGATACTTAATTACATGCAGTCCGATTCAAGCCGGGACGATCTGCACACACTCCTCCTGTCTGCCTCTCTGTTCGGCCTGTTGACCTCTGGGAGCCTTACTGTGTCTCGGCAGCGCCTCCGCGCCATTAAAACGAATGGACACGTGAAAATGAAAGTAAAGCTCTCAAACGTGAGCTCTATTGAGTGTGGAGCCAAAGACGTAAACAACTCTGCGAAGCAGACGCACGGTACCGACCGTCTGATGTGGTTCCACTGAATCGGGTCTCTAATTGGAATCATAATCAGAGTTAAATATCGGGTGTAGCATCAAGCTGCCGCGGCTTTACAATTTGCCTTTCCGCCTCCAGCAACATGACGTCTAACACAGTGTTATATACGGAGTGAAGGAAAGCAGACATCACTGCTCATATATATATTTTAAAAAGATTTGGCCAGTGGAAATTCATTCTTACCATGATCTTTCCCGGAGGATTACACAGTGCGTTTGTGCACCATAGAAGAAAAGCAGCGTCTACCCTGTAAAATGTCTTCAAAAACACTGCGTGGGCTCCGTGCCTCCATAATTTGTCTACATAAAGCTCATACCAGAATAATGAATGAGTATACGGCATTTCACTTCGTGTCTCAACTGAGCTCGAGGTTATGAGGCCAGCCGGCCTGGAATCCAAACAGTTACAGGTTTGAAGTCACCGGGCAGCTCTTTCCATTACTGCAAACGGATCAGCATTCAAGACCCAACACACCCACGATCGGGCATCACGTCCGTCTGTCTGTGTGAAACTATGTACAGGCGCTCTGACCACGACCGTTTGCCGACAGAGGAGAAGAAGGCTGATCGATCGAGTTTTTGTTTGGCTCCGCGTGTCACTTAACGTGAGACCATTAAAAGGTTTGAGGCAACAGTTTATCGTGTAAATGCATCGTTTTCTAAAGGGACAAATGAATCAACTCAGTGTCAGAGAAAGACAATATCAGACAAAGATTGACTCCATGTATCCGTGCATCTAGAATGAAGGTGCAGATGTAAAAAGGAGAGGTCTCTCACCAGGTATCTCTCATCATCTTTCATCCCTGGAGTGCGAACGAGGTGGTTCTGCTCACCCCTCCAGTCACCGAAGCGACGGAAGAAGTAGTTGGAGAGGAACCTGTTGATGGGGTCCCGGATTATGTTGATGTAGACCGGCTGCTCTATCCTGAACCTTAGGAGACAAACGGCAAACGTCAATAACAAAGCGGAGAACGACACAGAATAGTAACTTTTTAGGAGTGCTGTCGTTGTACATCGGCGCACTACTGTACCTGGTGAAGTTCAGGAAGTGAACATGCCGTGTATAGAGAAATGGCTGAGGGATGTTACTGATGTTCTTCATGAGATCCACCTGCAAAATGCCCCAAAATTTTGATTTGATCAATTTAAGTGTTACGTTGTAGGAGAATTAGGCCCAAAAAAAAGCAGAAACAGAAGCACTTAGAAAGTTAAAAAGGTATACAGCAGTTATTCCAAGCTCCTTCTTCCTCTGCCGCTATGACACATCAGGCACATTCCAAAGGGTTTCCAGGTTTTCAAGGAGATCCAGGCTCACAGTGGCCAAAATAAACATACCACAGTAGTTCCATACAGTGCAGAGGCCTCTTTGACGGAGGACGACACAACTAAACCCTAATTCTTAGTTATTTATCTCATGATTTCGTGGGATTATGCTACGCCGCCAGATATTTAAGTTATTATGTAAGTGGAGCAAACGTCGAATATCATAATTACACATGCAGACTCGTTCCATTGAATTCACTAGTGGCCTCATTGGATTTCTGCCATTAGTTTATGCAGATTAAGAATTCAAAAATGACAGGCCAAGTGCTTGAAATTTGAGAGCTCAGACTTTCGGTTCTTCTGAAGTTCGTGACACCCATTTTTCCTTAAATGATCTTATGTCTATTTTCTCCTCTCTCTCCACAATTTTGGAACGGACCCGTCCACCCTGCTGCTGCGCGTCCAAGCAAGCTCCACTACGGGTGTGGAGCATGATGACAGCCACATGCCGCTTCCACTTCAGTGACACATGTTGTTGCCAGACGCTCCATTTCTCCTGCCAGCAATCAATGCGATGGTCGGCAGCTTCTTTCATCCTTTTCCCGACCCCGTATGCTCCGTGCGGCGGCCCTTTCTGACCAACCGGCAACGGCATGGGACTCATTGATTCCCCGGGGACAGAAGGCGTGCACGTGGAGAAACAGACGAGGAGGTGAATCCAACAGCGGTTGTGGTAAAAACATTGATCCAGATGCTGTTTTGGCGTTCGTTGAATTGTTTGAACCAATTGAACCAGGATTCCAGGAGGCACAAAGGTTCTCTTTAGGCTAAAGCTGGTTTTGCTTTTGTAGCTTAACTGAACAAGCCAGATTTTAGCTAGATGAGATACAGGAAGCTGGATAAACATGACAATTAATGCAAATAGCAGGGTTTTTTTGTTTAAGTGAAAACCACACTACATGATTTGGGCCTTTGATGAAACAGCATAGCAGGGTTTGGGAGTTGATATTTCTCCATTTTCTACGTTTTAGCGCCCGGAAAGAGAGCAAACTGTGGTACCGTCTGCTGGATCAATCAATAGCGCCATCGGACAGTCGAGCTCTCGGTGAGGATACACAATGATTTCAAAACCCTCAGTGACCTTTTAGATTTAACCCGTGGCAGGACACCGAGGCCGACTCCGGGCCACCTGTGCACTGTAGGGGATTTCCAGGTTTGATTCTGTGATTTCTGGGGGCTTCCAGGGGAGATTAAACAGAGCAACGGAGGAGCTAAAACACCATCAATAAGGCATTCCTCGGAAACAGGCACAGAGAAAAAAACCCTTCTGGCGGTTTCAAAGGAGAGCAGCAGAGCAGATTGGGAATTAATGAGTTGGAAAAGGTGGCTCTTCATTACACAAAGCAACGCACTGACTGGAAACCGCAACGTCATTTGGAGAAAGTCTTTGCAAAACAAATGACCTCTTCATTTGAGGAGAAAACATAATTATGGTCAATCGACTCCGATTGGAAACATCCTAACAATTTGATATCAATCGCCAAAATGCTGCGGTCTAGAAAGTGACTTCAATTTCCCACAGCTCTAATGTTAACGTAGCTTACGAACAGCTTACGTGTTTCTTTTCTAGACTTAATAAAACTAATAATAAAAGTGCCTCAACAAGAGGATCACATTTCAAAAGCCCAAAGTTGGACTGTGATCTGTATGAATGCAAACATTCACAGAAATAGTGCAAGCACAGCAGAAAACGCCCCCATGGCTCACACCTGAATCACTTTTAATATAAAGATCTTTTGAGAAAAGTGCATTGATTATCCGAGGGGACTGAATGTCCTGCTGTCATAAACTCTGTGAAGGTACCTGTTGAGTCACAGCAAGAATATGTGGACAGCGACAGTAATGTGTATACTTGTTTATGTACACGGGGAAGTTAATCTGAGGCCCCAGTCAGATTTGGGTTGAACACCCTCCTTCTCCTCTATAAACTCAGTACATTTCCACTCACTCTGCTTCCACTTTCTGTGGAGCTGCTGCTGTAAAATGCAAAAAAAAAAAACGTTCACGAGCTTCAGAATTGGAATTCACCATTCTGGGTCCCTGCCGCGTGCTCTGCCTCCGCTAATCCAACGCCATCCTACGCGCTAAAGCGTTTATCATCCGCATGCTTCCCCTTAGGCCGGTCGTCCAGACCAATTAGCCCAGAGCTAACCCCCCCGATGCCCCCTCCCCCAAAACACACGGGCTGATGTGCGGACCCTGAGCAGCACATTTGTTGAGTTTGTGTGTGTGTGTGTGTGTGTGTGGGGGGGTTTCTGACCGACCCCTGTGGTCTGTCTGACTGGCCAGACCCCCTCTCATATACCAGGGAGAGCTGCAGGGAGAAAGAGGGAAAGTGGAGGACAGTCCGAGATTCCAGACATACCTGCAAGTCCCCCTCCCTCCCCCCTCGAGCCCCCGTGGAACCTCACTGGACTCATATGGGGGGAAACGGAGGAAGAGCAGAAAAAGCAGAAGGCGCGCTTATCTGCATCCAGCTGAATCTAAATCTGCCTGTGTGCGACCCCAAGTAAACACCTGCGTCACAGATACGAATAAGCAGGCCACACATTTCAGAAAGCAAGAGGACCGGTCCCAACATGAACGAAAAGACGCTTTTCATCACTTTCTCTGAATGCAACCAAACTGGATTCGAACCGTTTGCTTTGAGTGCAGCGGGCGAGACGCTACCACGGAATAACGGTTTACAATCTGTGTTTGTGCCGGGTCGACTCTGTCCCGTGTTTGCGCGTCTGTGGCCGTGTGATGCAGATGCGCGAGGCTCGCGGCCGTGCAGCGACTGTCTGCCGTTTTTCGTGTTTTTTTTTCGGTGAGAGGGAGGAAACGGGATCTCACGCGATCGCAGACCCGTTCATCAGTGAAGTTGCTTCTTCTCTATTTGCGGGGTTTTTTTAAAAAAGGGGAAAAAATTTTTCTTTTTCCTTTCCCCCCTTCCCCTAGAAACCCCGATTATTAATACCGTATAGCCCCTTTTTGAGAAAAGAAACAGTGGTCCCAAAGGGAAAAACAAAAATCGCGAAATTTCCGGACAAACACGGCCCTTTAATTTCTGGGCAACCCACCCACCCCCTCTTGGGGAATCAACCCCTTTAGGGGACTGGGGGGGGAGCGGGAAAGGAATAGGGCCCCAAAAAGGGGGGGGCCGGGAGACGGACCCAAAGCAGATGGGACCTTCTTCTTTAACCATGGGCGCCAAGTTTCGGGTTCTGCATGGGTCACCCCGCCATTCAGGTCCCAAGGCAAATAAACGCCCAGAGCGGGAGCTCCCCTGATCCCCAGCACGGGGGTCCCCCCCCCCCCCCCCCCCTGCACAGACACTGGAATGCACAGACTCTTTCTGAGGCGCACCTCTCGGGATCATTCCCAGAGTTGACATTTAATGAGCCTAATGGTGTTCTGCCCCCCCCGAGTGTGCAGCCGGACGGACAAACAAGTAGCCGTTTCACCATTGGCCGGCGGTCGGCGATGGTTAGACGAATTTAGCCGTCTGCCGGCCGGCGAAGCAGCAGTCAGCGCGTAGCTTGTACCCTCAAGGGCTTCTGCAAATGACGTCACGCGCGGATATGAGTCATCCCCCCCCCCCCCGCACAGATTAAGTCACTTTCTCCCCCAGTTTACCAGAAGAGGCGTTGCATCAGTGGGAAGTGGCTCTAGCGGAATGGGATGTGTGGCCATTCAACTGTTGTTCCAGAGCAAATCAAATATTTCTTCTTTCACTGCTACTGAAAAAAACGTTGACCTCAGCGGAACGTTATTTTTTTCACGCCACCCCCCCCATCAGAGAATGTCGGCAAGTGATCTCTAGTTAAGTACAAATATTATGCATTTTATGAGTACAAAAACGTAATTCACTTATAGAGAAACCGGGTTGGGCTGGTAGGAACATTATAGCATATTAACATATTTCAGCCTAAAAAAGGCCATTTTAGGCTTTTAACATTTGTATTTTGATGAAAGTACATCTGCATTTCTACAGGCTTCTAAATTTTCACTTGTGTATTTTTACACTGTGTTATCTGTACTTTTATTTAAGTTCTGAATACTCTGTCCACGTCTAGACTTCGATTATAATAAACTTCTGTACAGCTGTTACTCTCCCAGTAAATTGAACTCAAATCATCTGGTGAAGGCCGAGTCTCGACAAAAACACGCCTTGTTCACGTCAGCAAACACCCAATCATCCAAAATCCAATTTTACTCACATTATCTATTTGTACAGTTAAAGAAAACAGGGATTATATCTCGAGGAAAGATGTCCTTTATGCACATTGGCATTTGCGCTGGCATTCCCAGTGGAACGTCTCAGTGTCTCCTTTTAAACAAAAGCCCTTCTCCTCTGTAAAGACAACACTTATATGCTCGAGATGTTCCATGAAGTAATATAAGCACAAGAAAAGAGTTTTCACAGTGAATGAAAGACCAACACAGAACGCTGCTGTTATGATTTCACTGTGACCACAAAGTAAAGTGCAAAATATGAATAAATTAAACTCTTTTTGTGTGTTCCATACCATTTACTGGGGATATTTTCACAGCAGCAGCTTCTTTGAATCTGGTTGCCATAATTCAAGTTATGGGATAGAGATCACTCTAAATATTTATAGAAATGGTTAATGCATAAGCAGCGGCTTCAGAAGAGGGATCTGGAAACCAATTTCAATTGGCTGGTAACAAATTTAAATGTCAAATGTTCTTGTGTATGTTATTAACTCTACGTGTAACAATTCATCATGTCAACCATCCTGCAACATCACGTCTTCTGTCTTACCTGTTCATGTTTTGTGAGGCGTGTTTTATTGTGGATGTCAGAGGAGACCAGGTTGAACTGATGTTTTTCGGCCAGTAATCTCAGCAGGATGACCACCGTCCGGCTGCCGCACTTCCCCACGCGGTTATAAACCACTTGGCTGGGGAAAAGGAGCGCCTGCAGACACACACAGGCAAACGCAGAAGGAATGAGAAAAGAAAAAGCTGAAAGTTTATTTTTCTATGTTAAAAAACATTGTTTTTTGTATGGTGTTACAATATGACTTTTACTGGTATGTGTTTTGATTGTATAGAATACATTTATTATAATAACACACATAATAAATATCATAAATAAATAAATACCATACAGTCAAACAAAACTGCCTATGAAAGTCAAGGAAAGTGTGAGAAAAATATTCAAGAAAAAAGAAATTTAACTCTGGAAGGGGGCTCTTTTCCTGCGACCTTCGACCCTCTGCTTCTTACATACTCCCCCTGGGGCTGAACTCAATTGACCCTGCAACGTGCACCCTTTGACATACGGGACACACACACACACAGATTGACAACAGGCGCGCATGGTTTCATCTTCTCTCTTCGCACGCTTAATCATCGATTGAGCTCAATGAGTCAGCTGCTCTTCGCTGCAGAGTGAGAGAGACGCAACTCGGAAGTCATTTGTTTCACACACCCACACATACAAAGCTCGCACACGCTTAGGATGCACACGCCTCGTGACTCACCAATTAAACAAGAAGCTCGGCCGTGATTCAGACACCCAAGGAAAGTGGAAATGAGGCATGTGACAGTAAATCTCTGCTTGCAGGAAAAAGGCTGTCGAGGCCGACGCGCGTGTTGAAAATGAGACACATTTCAGCACACGGGCAGAAAGAATGCACTAATTTGGCAATTATCTGTAAGGGCCTCCAAGGTTTACACAAGTGGCCCCTTAAGAACGACGGCTATCGGAGCGGATGTTTTAGTGAGAACGAGGAGCAACTTTGGGCCAGTTGAAGGAATTAAGGAGAGAATGAGACAGAGGGAGACAGGTCACTTAAAAGACATCTGGAAAATGTCCTTTCCAGTAAACCCGATAGAGATCTACCACAAAAACAGCAGAGGCAGATCAGTTCTGTCTTGCCTTAAAACCCCACTTCCTGATCACTTCAAGCGAAGCTTTCCTGTGGACGGTTCTGGTTATCTGTGTTTGGAAGCCGGTCTCACCGACCGTGGACTCGTTTGATAGCGGGTTTGATCGTTGGCCCGAACGGCGTCTTCCGCTCTCCATCGTGGGCGTGAAAGGATCACGAACCTCCAGTGGATCTCAGGGCTCTTCAGGCTCCGTGGTTTCCACATTCTGGAGCTCAGCGTGGTCAAACACACACACACACACACGCTGATTTTGTCTCCCTTCCAAAAGCACCAGCAGTCCCACACAGGCTTCGTAAAAAACAACAACAGTTGAGAGTGTCTTTTATTTGTTTGTCACGGGGAGGGAAGAATAAAGGGAATGAACAACCGCGGATGGAGAGCCAAGGGAACCGTCCCAAGGTGAGGACGGGACCGCTGGAAAAAAACAATTCTGCTTGTGTCACTTGCTGGAACTTTGCAAACAATTTCATGCACCAGAAAAACAAAAGATCCAACACTCAGTTGGGAGAAAATATTTTGAGCAGCTAGGAGGTTCTCTTGGACAGCAGTCCAACATTCCTCAGTGTTTGGCCAAGTAGCTACAGACCTCTCGAGCTTATCACACCGATGACCCCCCCCCCCCCCCCCCCTCTCTCCCGCTGGTGTGATGACACACGAAAACGGCCTTGAGACGCCGTCGTTTTCTGCGCTGTTGTGGTTCCCACAAGCACAGATCGTGAGACTTGAATCATGCTGTGAGAAATGTGGCAAGTGAGGGATTCTGTCAAAGGTCAATCCAGGGCGTAATATCATGTGACTGCCGTTTTCCACCACGTCTGACCGGGACACTCGGTGTACGGCGATGTACAGGCATCGAGGATGAGAATGAAGCTGCACCTTTCCATCCCTTTCCATCTCTCCTCTGACTTCCTCAGTGTCCTTTCATTTACACCACTCTGCACACACACACACACACACACACACACACACACACACACACACACACACACACACACACACACACACACACACACACACCTCTGGAAGTGAGCTGCCTGCAGTCACGCAGCAGCAGCAGCAAGTTTCCGAACATGCACTGATTTGCTACATGTCAAAACCACACACACACACACACACACACACACACACACACACACACACACACACACACATCGTCCCGCATGTTAAGGATTCAGCGGAGGCCCTTCCTGTTATTAATGAGCAAACCATTCTACTCCGCGCGCCCACACAGAAAGAAGCCGGGGAGTCTCGCTGCTCTAAAGTAGCTGCGACAGCGGAGTTTCCATCCGAGCGTGTTTAGGAGAACTAAGATGAATTCATTTCCAGAGGCGGAGGGTAAACGGGACACTCCTTACGCTTCCTTTGCAGTCGGTGAACACAGAAACTTCATGACAACGGAAGAAGCTTTTGTTCGAATCGAACATTCGGTTTTTGCATTAGAATACTTCCGGTTCCCCTCAATATGAAGAGTCACAACGTCTAACATTAACAAATACTCAAATTTTGTGAGATTCTTAAAAGGCATTCAAGGACCTTCTATTGTACTTCAGTCCATGCTGAAGGTTTCTTCTTCTTGTACCAATGTGAGGCTGCTGGGACAGAAATTGAAAGCAAATTTGTGATTTTGATGTCTACAAAATAGACGTAGTTTAATTTGAGCCCCACTATTGCTTTTGCAATTGTCCATCTTTTTTTACCAGAATTTTTTTTCAATATTTAGTGCAATTAAAGAAGAAGAAAACACGCCAGGGATGCTCTTAAGGGGACATTCTTGCCGTGCTTCCAAACTCAAAGACTCGCAACTCTATTCTGAGAGCTGCGTGGTTTTTCCACACGCTCTCATTCACGTTGAGCTTTCAACCCAAATTCTAATCTCTGCCTTCATTTAGCAGAAGCTCGGCGTCCAGGCGCTGCAATCCGACCAACCTCCGTGGAAACAGAAAATCAATCTCAGCTGCAGAAGGTCTACGGCAAAAAGATAACGAGGGATGCGCTCGATGTGGCGCTCGCCCACTGACACGAGACGACGACGTGTGTGGAATCAATCAAAGGTCTGTGTCGATGGTGATCGGACGGGAGAAGAAATACTTTATTGATCTCAAACTAGGGGAACCAAATTCAAATCACATTTAGTTCAACTTGTTGATAATGTGGCATTTGCATCTTTCCTAAACCTCATTTACTGCCTATACCTTTTTTTTTTAGGAGAGAACTCACTGTGAATAATTTACATCTCAAAATAGAGTGAAAAACATTTTTTGATAAGGATATTATTAAAGTTAGAGCAGTCTGTACGTCTGCTACAAGAATCATTTTCACATAATTCATTTTAATTGCCATTCAGTCCCGTACGGCGGAGGATTTGTGTTCATATGAGTAACATAACTGTCAGTTCAGAAGACGCCGTCATATTTTTTGCAATTAAATAATTAAATCACGATTGTAAGTATAAATAAATACAGACGCAAATAATCTGTAACAAATGAAAACACATTCATTCTGCTATGTTTGTTCATGTGCAGGTGTTTGTTGAACAGGTAACAGTCACACAGGTAACTGCCAAACCCCACAGCTGTAAAAGCTGACTGACAGCGCATCCAGCTGTGGGGTCAGAAACCGACGTGGCTTAACGTTACACTGCAGCGTAAAAGACAAAAGACAAAAAATGAGTGAAACGATGCGGTTTAAAGGATGTCGGATGCACTCATATCAGTCTTTGCGTGGAACGACCAGCTCTGCATGAAGCCTGATGGAACCAAGAAAGATCCATGGACCCGCTGCTGTTTTCCATTGTTGCTCTGCTTCCAGCCTGCACAGCTGCTTCCAGTGCAGCTTCTTTCAAAGCTTTTATCAGATTCAGCCCCTCTGCATCTAAGAGAGGCCTGAGGTCCTCTAGGTCGGCTCGGCAGATTCTTAATCTTCTTAATCTTGAGGTCATTCAAGAAGGCCCAGGTAGAAAACGCACGGCGAGCCTCTGATAGACCACGTTTCTGCTTGTAGAGCGTTTTTTGTGAGTAGGAAGTGCAAACTGGAGTCGATCCAGATGGTTGTATCAACAGTTTAAACATGTCAGAGTTATATGGAGTACAACTCTTTCAAGTGATCAATGTCTGCTTAAATGACCTAAAACAACAATTATAAAGAGTTTCTGTCTTCTAATGACACAGAAATAATTCATGGAGTAAATTCATCTTTTTCCTTCCATTCCATTAAAATCACACTTTTCTGTGTCAAAACGACTTCCACAGCCTCTGTGTTTATACAATGATGTACATTGCTCAGCTGTTCTATTCTCAGTTTTATCTTTGATGCAAAATGGTGGAAACTATTTTTTGACTTATTAGACTTCATCTCCATTCAATTTCTACGAGCCCATATATTATTAAAAGCTTGGCATAAGCTAGTCACTATAAAGAAAACTGCCACTGTGAACTAGTTGTGATTGAAACAGAAAGATTTGCTGAAAAATTGATTTTCGCTGGAAAAAAAGTTGTTTTAACTATTATCTGCATAAAACTGTGGATGCCTGGTTTAACTCACAAACAAAGCCCAGATGTGACCTAACTGAACAGCTGCTCATTACAGCAACAAACCGGTGACCAAATGTTAACGTTCCAACCAAGAAACTGACTCCAACTACTGACTCATCGATCAGAGGCGGAGAAAAAAAAATTGTGACAATTAAGAGGTGAAAATAAGGTGGTGATTGATTCAAGGAGGAGATAATAAACAAGGCGCAGACAGAAGAAGAAAGAAGTTGGCGGGGAGAGAAGGACGGAGGAGAGATGGTCGCGCAGACGTGCAGCTGGATGAATACAAGGCCTCTGTGTCAGCGCCTTGTGCGAGAGAGGGAGAGAGGGGGAGAGGGGGGGAGAGGGGGGGAGAGGGGGCGAGAGACGGAGCTCACAGCACTATACTGTAGCGCTGAAGCCAGGTCTAGTTGGTATTTAGAGAGAGTTCACACGCAGATCGTTCACACAGACCTAACCCTTATCCCGGCTGGACTGAACTGGCTTGCAAACACCGGGCAGCACATCAGAGAGAGGGAGAGAGGAAGGGGGGGGGGGGGAGAAAAAAAAGGGGGTAACTTTAAAGAGGAAGATTAGGAGGAAAAGGGATGTAACAGGAAATAACATAAGGAGATAAAGAGGAAGACTTACTCTTGGTGCTGGAGGTCCGTGATCGTCCAGATACGTGGATTCACCTGCAGGGAGAAGAAAGTACACGTGTTGGGATTCTGGTAAAAATATCATCACGACACAAAAGATGCTGCAAGAAGCCAGAATTTAAACTAAGGAAGAATCAATCCGACAATTGCTTCCCCGTTTATTTATTTTTTGATACAGCGGCTCTTAAACTGTCCAATGCCCCCCTGCGGAAACAATGAACGTCCTTAACTTCAATGCGATTTCATTGAATCAAATCAACCATCAACATAAAAAAAGGGGGGTTTGATCTTCATTTGTGTGCAAATGAATAATTCAATTGTTGTGCAAAAAAAGACTCGCAAACGGATTTGGATGCTGCGTATTCAGGTTATTAATGAGCATTATTGTTGATGGTCCGAGTATGTGGCCATTTTATTGTGACCGCATTAGTCCGATTCATCAAACCTCAGTCCCCCCCCCCCCCCCCCCCCGGGTTTCCATGGCGAAACAGTGGCACTCCCTGAAAGCTTCACACCTACCCAACAAAGCCCCGGAAGGCGGGGTATTCTTTTTTTTTGGGGGGGGGGTACCCATCTTTTTGCGTTTTTTGACAAGCTCTCCCAAAAATATGGCCCTTTTTTTTGCCCCCCCCCCCCCCCTCCCCCCTCTCCAAATCCAGGCCGGGCGTCAGGCAGCGGCCTTTCTCTTCTCGTATAGACACATTGCGTCGAGTGAGGACGAACAAACGCTTGAGCGTGGGGAGAGTGTGAAGCTAATAAAGCGAAGAAATATGACGTTATAGAACAATCTCTCCTTGTGTCTGAGAAATATGGTCCAACGCAGCAATGAAAGGAAGCGGTGCATGAACACGCGGTTTACAAGCAGCCGAGCTTTCCCCGCTCGGCACACAGTCGAGTTTTGTAAGTGCTGTTTGAACTCAAGATAGTCGTGTGTGACAGCTTTGAATTGGCCTTAAACTGAGGTCCAATCTGCCTCCGTTTGGCTTCGCTTCGATATCTGGACGTAGAAGCTGGTGGACTTTCATTGTGTAGTGGCTCATAATTCATTCAAGGAGCTGGATATTTAACTACTGACTCGGCTTTCCCTGTTTTTCATTGACTCGGTCTATCTTTGCTTATTGCGATGTCTCTCTTTCGTGCAGCTCCTCCGCGGAGAGTTAGCGGGTCTTCTCCGGAGCACTTGAGGTCGTGGCAGGGCGAGGATGCACTGAGGCAAACATCTAGGTTCTGTCATCCATCACGGACGACCTCCAACCCCCTCTCCACCCCCTAAGTGCGCGTCTCATCATCATTTTGGAAAAGGGTTCGGAAACAGCTGCCTTCTGCTCCAAACTCCCGACAGAGAGAGCAAAATGAACTCAAGGCGTAACCTTATCGACCACATTGTCTTTTGCTCCAGTGATGCAACGCAGTGGGGAGGAAGACGCTTTCTGAGCTGTTGGCTCAAACAAGGAAAAAAAAATTGTGGAAGCCTGTATTGTCTCCTGTGTTTAGACCTCTAAAGACCTGTAGCACGGCCCATCTACCTAATTACAGAAGGAAGCTCTGGGTCAGAGTCTGCTTTGGCACGTCGGTTTCTCATAATCTGTCCGAGCATCTATGGGACATATTGCAACACGTTAGATAGTACTTTTGGAAGACTAACAAAGTTCTAGTAAAATGTCTGCCAAAGGGCACGAAAACACTTCTGGCAGATCATGGGAGGCCGACACGTTCCATAAACACATCGCTAATGTTGTTTTTCTTGTGCTAGTCAGTGATAACGACTTGGCAAGGCACGTTTTAGGACTGTACGGTTTCATTGAACGTCAGTGAAAACTGGAGCAACTGAAGTAGTCTAAAAAGCAAGGACGTCAAAACAGTGCGTTTGGGATGGCCGGGTGTCAGACAAGGTTAGGACTTTGATCCAGGAGTCCTGCGTCATGTCAAACCAAGACGCCGTTTACTTATTTCTCACATTTCTACTTATGTGTATCTCGCGTAGCCGCGTTCTATTACCCTAAATCCGAATTTACGTTTTTGTTTTGCGTGTAATCCTAAAAATCCTTCTGTGTGCATGTCATGAATGGTGAAGTGGAGAAATAGCTGAGTACAAGAGGGCAAAGGGCTCAGACGCAAGAAGAACTTCCAAATCAAACAAAGTCCAGCATCATCTTTGAAGATCCACATGCTTATGGTACAGAGTGCGTGTGTGTGTTTGTATAAGTGATTAAGGGAGAAACTGGCAGGGTGTAAGTATGCACGGGCCAGTAGCTAAAGGGTTAATTGGATTACTGTGTCACAAGATCTATGTGCTGGCCTCTGAATATCCAGTCCTGAGTACAGTAGCTAATCAATACTGCAAGAAGAACAACGTGAATCAGTAGTGCATCAGGGAGTTTAATAAGCAAATACTAAGAAAGTATATGAGCAGACTTTTTACAAGCGGCGGCAGTATTACTGCAAAAGCTGTAATAAGTCATGTCATTTAGCTGATTTTGCATGTTATTTTCTGCACGAGTCCCAAATACAAAGGGATGCATTCATTGTGAATCTGCTGAGGCAAACAATTGCTCACAATTCTTTTGCACATATTTCAGGACATGAGACTAAAACTCACACAACTGCGAGAGCTATTTTAAACATCTCCATTCTGAAATCCTGTTTGTGCACAGTGACTGTGAACCCCGTGTGCATTAGTAGACACATCCAAATAAACTGCGAACCGCCGCCCGTGTCCATGATACAAAATGTGATGAATGAAAAAAGTGGAATTATTGTCACACCTCTTTGTTTGCATGGATTAAAGGAAACTGTACTTCATCAATATTGAACTGACAGTTAAGTGAAATATGGTACATAAAGATGTGTATGGAGAAATTTGCACGGAAATGAGTCATCGGGCGTCCTTCGGGCTCTGGAATTCTCCCTTCGGAGTTGGCCTGCTTCAGGAATGCCACAGCAGGTTTGGGAATTTCATAAACATGTACGTGCAGCGGAGACCATTTCTTTTTCCTTTTTAAAAATGTGCGACGTCGCTGAGCAGCGCCCTGGAATAGGCCGAGGTGGGAGCAGAAGAACCCACCCGGGAACGGCTGCTGCCGTTGCGAGTACCGGCCCGAGTAGTGCTTGAGGTCAAGGGGTCCCTTCCCCTCTGCTGTGGGACGAGACTCAAAGCAAAGACGGAAGGTCGCAGAGCCGCTGCGCCGGAAACGTAGTACGTATGTGACACATGATTACAGGTTCCACAAAGCTGCAAAGACTGAACTCTCTCGTTCTCAACCCACATCCTGCTGTAGTTTCAGTATCCACCGCAGACTTTGAATAAAAGCGTCTGCCTGCCTCGACTCCTGACTGTCTGTTTGCGGAAAACGGAACGAGGGTTTTACATTCGACACAAACAGATGATGTGAAGTAAAAAAAAAAAAAAGGGGGTTCGGAGGGAACGACAGATAACAGTCGCAAAAAGTTACACAACCTCAGCCCGATCCAGCTGTGTGAAACACACCCGGTTGAACTAGACACAAGTGTGTGCGGTTACCGTGCTTACAAAACATTTGGGCCGTAACCGCCGTATGCAAACACAGTCTGCATTTAGGGGTCACGCACAAGCTCTTCTGTGTGTGTTTCTCCGTGTAATGTGTGCGCGTGTGTGGTTGCACCGACCCTTTGATTTGGAGTGAGGGAGTGGCCCTCTAAAGACCCGTAGCACGGCCCACCTACCTAATTACAGAAGGAAGCTCGGGGTCGGGGTCTCCACCCACTACGCCCTGCCCTACGTCACCCCTCAGCCACTGGAGAGACAACAATGGTCGGACAGCTTTTTCATATAAATAGAAAAGCTGTGCCGTTTTCTTGTTGTTGCAGGGGCCCAAAGACCTAAACCTGGATGGGGGACTAACTTGTGGACCCATTACTCCCCTTAAATGTTGGGTTACTGTAATAGAGGGTCGGAGGACTCATGTGGGTGAAGAGACTTCAGGAGGACAGTCAGCGTGTCATTTGTGGAGACCGGCGGTCGCCACCGCGTGTACCGGATGACGGGGACGAGCCGCTGGAATGATGAGTCGGCAAAAAAAAATGTTGACTCTGGTGAGGGAAGCTATAAATAAAAGACAAACTTAGCAGAACAAGACAGAGAAAAGCGTAATCATTTTTTAATGTTAACGGGAAGAGGAAACAGGAGTGACCCCGGCTGAGTCATTTGATGGCTTTAGTTTGAAGAAGTAACCAGTGAATGAAGCCGAGGCAGCAAAGGGAATCAAATCAAGTTGAGACTTTGATCCACATGTGGAGTAGAAGACGATCACTTTGTTAAAAAAGCCAAAGGCATCATTCCTACGTACAAAGTTAAAGGGAAAATCACTGTCTGAATCAAGCTCCACAGAGACCTCCTCCCGGTGCACGTTGTGAGGCCGCATGGCCATTTTAAACAAACAGGGAAAAAAAGTGAAAGAAAATGAATAAACTTGACATACAAACATGGGCTGTACAAATTATGTAACTTAACATAATTGTCACTCTATTTCTTTGTATCTTAATTGGGAGTTTTAATTGCAACGTAGCACCTCGTTGGCTCGGCAGCAAATGGGACAGAAGGTTCTGCCTGGATGAAAGAAGCCAGACAAACACCCTGCTTCCGTTGTTTCTTTGCTCCCGGGGCCCCGAGCCTTAACCAAGCCAAATCAGTTGTTTGAAACAGTCCACGCTTGTTTATCCCTTCATATCCCGTCTCTTCGTCGCCTGTACAGACCCGAGTGCCGACCAACGCTTCGACTGTCCTGTGAAATGCCGCAACTATACGAGATGTTTCATGAGTCCCAGCCCTTCGGCTCAAGGGGAATATTTTCTCCTCAGATCTAACTAGTAACCGTGATGATGCGGGAGATTGAAAAGGGGATTATAATGCGTTTTTTAAAAACTTCTTCCGTCATGACAGGGTCAGTTACCGTAAGCAGTCTGAAACCTTGTTCTTGTGGTGGTGCTGAGTCAGCAATGAGGCGCGCCGTAGATAAATATGGTAAAACACAGAGAGCTCGTCGAGCTGCACAATAAGC